AATATGTTAACCTCAGCAGGGTGTGATGGCACAGGCCTGTAATCCAGCAGCTTGGGAGGCTGAGATAGGAGGATTCCAAGTTCAATGCCAACCCCAGCAGATTAAAGGCACTAATCAACTTAGCAAGACCCTGACTCAAAACAGGCTGGGGCTGTAGCCACTGGATAAGCATCCCTGGGTTCAACCCCCAGTATCCCCCATGCTCAAAAAAAAAAAAAAATAATAATAATAATAATAATATGTTGTCAACCTCAGTACCTCAGTTCCAAGTAATGCAGCAAGTAGTGTTCAATACACAGTAAATATTTGTAGGTACCAAAAACATGAAAATAGCACTGCCTGCAAAGTTGACCACTGTACCAGACATTCCCTAAGACTACCCATATCTTGATGTGGGAATGTTACCAAGGTTTGACTTTATAATAAGCAAAACTACGGCCCCATTTTAATTAATCAATTTCTGATGTGTTCACCCTGATTTTAAAGTTATCACTCAGTATGTGATTATAAAATATGCTGAACACCAGAGATGAACACTCAGGTGGTATAAAATCTGTGTCCCTGATGTGGACACCTTTCATACCACCATCTCCTTACCTTTCTTGGAACTAAGGGAAAGGAGATTGATTACTCCTCATCTCCCTTATCAGGTCAGAAGCCAGGATCTGAAGTTTACACACCAAAGGTTATCCCCACTAAGATAAGGGTGCAGCAGAGAACTCAGAACAGGTCTGTTGGTCTCTAAAGTCTGTGCTTTTCCCATGACATAGGACTGTCTCCCACTCCACTTGGACCATAGTTGGTGATCAAAACAGGACAGGCAAAAATACGATTCTAACTATAATGGGATTCTAGGACTGACTGAAAGATCTTCTGTTTGACTCAGGAGACCGAGGCCCTAAGCAGGTTATCAAAATGAAAAATAATTAATTGGCTCAGTGGTTACCCCCGGGATCAATCCCTGGTATTAAAAAAATAAATAAAAAGAAAAAAACAGAAAGCAGAAAATGAGGCATACAAAAAAACTTACAAATTATTAGATTGATTGATTACTTAGGAGGCAGACACCATAGAAACTGATCAGTTAATTTAGTGCTATCATTTTGGAGTTGAGAAAACAATATCCAAAATCAGGCAAATTGATGTGTTCGGGATTCCCAAGGTCACAAAGGCAGTTAACAGCAAGTGTATCTGGCAGAAGTTAACTTCACATGTGAAAGCTGCTATGTTCTAATGAGGTCATGTTACATGAGAATCTATTATATAAACAGCCAAGCAGAAAATCAAAAGTGTATTTATGTGAATATAAAAATAAGGTTGATATTCTCAGTTAGTTTAATACCTACAAACTGAGACTTCTAGTCTGCTGGCAGTACTACCCAGGAAAGAGATCATGAGAATCATTTCCCTCTACTTCTAGAACTTTATGGTCCAACTGGTGGCCTAAGGAATTAACCAAGTATGCCCAGACTGAAGGAAACCTGGCCCCAGAGCTCACTGCATTTGGGACATGCTCTGCAGTTCCAGGTGCAGCATCGTGCAAAGACTGCAAGGCATAGAAAGATCAGGAGGGGAAAACAACAATCATGAAAAATATGCATGTGGGGCTGGGGATGTGGCTCAAGTGGTAGGGCGCTCACCTGGCATGCGTGCGGCCCGGGTTCGATCCTCAGCACCACATAAAAATAAATATTTTGTGTCCACCGAAAACTAAAAAATAAATATTAAAAATTCTCTCTCTAAAAAAAAAAAAAATGCATGTGAAAACAGAGAGGTTAGGACCTGTCATCTGCTGCTGAGAGAGAAGCCCAGGAAAGGTGATGTTGGGTATGCAAAAAAGGTGTATGTGGCATTAAAGAACCAGCACCTAGAAGAGTCAGGAGATAGGGGTTGGAGATGTGGCTCAAGTGGTAGTGCTCGCCTGACATGCGTGAGGCACTGGGTTCGATCCTCAGCACCACATAAAAATAAAATAAAGATATTGTGTCCACCTAAAAAAACTAAAACTAAAAAAAAAAGAGAGTCAGGAGATGAATTTTTAAAAACCAAGGAACCACTAACCTATATGACCAGGAGAGTCAGTTCCCTTCTAGGCTTGTCAGTGTGGGTTCACCGTACATGACAAGTCAGAAAGGGACTGCACGCAGCACTATTTACAGTGCTCTAAGGCCCTGGGCAAAGTGGTGGGATGGTTTAGAGGTGTAGGCCAATGAGAAGGACTCCTTTAGCTATGCCTGTCCCAGGTGAGGGACGGAGGGAATAATGAGAAGAACACAGCTGGGCACAGCGCGAAGCGCACCTATAATCCCAGTGAAGCTGAGGCAAAGTACTGCAAGTTTGAGGCCAGTCTGGATCATATATCAAGACCCCGTCTCAAAATAAAAAGTTGATAAAGGGATTCAGGATGCAGCTCAGTAGCAGCAAAACACACACACACACACATATTCTATGACTTTTCCTGACTTGAAAAGTTAAAAATGGCAAATTTTATGTCTTACCACAACAAAAACATTTTCTATTAACAAATAGTTTTTTGGTTTTTTAAAAAATATCTTTATTTAGGGGCTGGGGCTCAGTGGTAGAGCACTAGTCTCGCATGTGTGAGGCCCTGGGTTTGATCCTCATCACCATAAAAATAAAATAAAAAGGTATCGTGTTCACCTACAAATTAAAAAACCATTTTTAAAATATCTATTTTTATGTGGTGCTGAGGATCGAACCCAGTGCTTCACATGTGCAAGGCAGGAGTTCTACCTGTGAGCTACAGTCCCAACCCCCCCAAATAATATAGTTTTAATCACGACTATCACCTTGGAACTTGAAATAACAAAGACTGATAACTAGGACCATCTGGAAGAGAGAAATAAACATATGGGTTATATTTTCCATTTGCCACCATCCTAAGCAAGATCCTAAGCAACTCAGTGAGACCCTTTCTAAAAACAAAACAAAAAAAGGAGTCGTAGCTTAGTGGTAAAACAACTCTGGGTTAAATCCCCAGTACCAAAACAAACAAACAAAAAAAAAACAGGCAGGGTCAGGAGGAGTGTAGGGGTCAGAGGCAGACTGCTCATATAATGTGTGAAGCCCTGGGTTCCCCCCAGCATCGTAAATAACAATAAATAATTTTTAAAATGACAGAGCTGAGTCTATTTTAATTCCAAAACTCCTGTTCTTCTTCTTATTATTTTTTATTTTTTTAAAATTTTTAATATTTATTTTATTTTTTTTAGTATTTGGCGGACACAACATCTTTGTTTGTATGTGGTGCTGAGGATCGAACCCGGGCCGCACGCATGCCAGGCGAGCGCGCTACCGCTTGAGCCACATCCCCAGCCCCTTATTATTTTTTAAATATTTATCCTTTAGTTGTAGTGGACACAATTATTTTATTTTTTATGTGATGCTGAGGATTAAACCCAGAGCCCCCACATGTGCTAGGCAAATGCTCCACCACTGAGCCACAACCCCAGCCCCTCCAAAGTTCCTGTTCTAAACAACCACACAACACTGCCTGCAGTATGGGTCCTAATCCTACTTCCTCATCAACCCTGTCTACCTCTCTAGGCCCTTGGAACATCAGCACGGACAGGATACCTTAACTTGTCTCCTACTATTCCAGGGTATTTCTTTTGTCTCCTTAATTGAACACTGGCTTCTCCCAAAGCAGGGATAGCCACAACATTTGGTTCCTCCTCAGCCTATTGCCTTTTAAAACAGGGTATATCAGCTGTGTCATATGGATGCTACAAAGATTCAAGGAGCTAGTATGTGTACAGCGCTGAGAATGGCACTTAAATACTCTCATTACTTTGTATATCACACAGTATTTAATCAGACTTCTAAGATATGGGTTGTTTTGGTCCAATTTCCTTTGTTATTTACAACCTGTATTCTCTTGGGCAAAATACTTAACCTCTCCATCTCTGTTTCTTCATCCCAAGAAGCCAAATCTGGAATCATTTCTATCCTGTATACTTTGAAGGTGCCCTGATATGGAGATGTATGAGAAAACACTCTGGAAATTGCAAAGAGTTGAATCAGGGGTTCTTACCTCAGCAATACCAACATTTAAGCTGAACAGCTCTATGTCAAGTGCTGTCCTATCCACTGTAGATATTTAGCAGTACCCCAGGACTTTTTCTAACCACTAGATGCCGATAATATCTCCCTACCCAATTGTAACATCCAAAAATGTCTCATGACATTAACAAAATGGTCCCTGTTGAGGCTCACCAGATTATGCTAACTCACTACCAGGGACTCCTTTCATGAACAGCAGTAAAAGATGCTTATGTCATAACCTTTACAAACTAGTGGCTATTTCCTGAAGGTTTTCAATGTGCCAGGGACTTAGGGATTAGCTTCCCCCAAATGGCACCAGCTGACACTTCCTCCACACCAGGTCCCACAGCCTTCAGAAAGCACTTTCTGAAGGCTGCTCTTCTGACATGCCCGAGACTCATTCCTGCTTCACTCACATTTGTCTATACAAATGGATATATTTCACCCTCCAAATTATCCCTACCCTACCATCTCCTGTCTTGCTGTCACTTTTATTTAGTTACTGGAAAAGTTTTACTCACAGATAGGAATAAACTTATACTCTAATTTGATCTTCTTGCTAGTTACTAAGTAAGTTTTACATATTTTTTATAGATCTTTCTCTTTTTTTTTTTTCCTTTTTGAGATGCTGGGGATTAAACCTAGGACCGCACATATGTTAGGTAAGTGTTCTATGTTGAGCTATGGCCTCAGCCCCCTCTTGTTTATTTTTTCAGTGCTAGGAATGGAACCCAAAGCCTCTTATGTTCTAGGCAAACACCCTACCACTGAGTTAAACCCCCACTCCTCCTGGACCCTTTTTGAATCATTATAGTGCTTGGGTACGGAGAAAATTTGACTTGGCAAATGTCACAAAACCATGTGTACACTGAGCCATATCTGCAGAAATTAAAACCAAAAGCCCAGTAGAAGGATGCTCTGCCTTCAGGACTCACCTTGCAAGAGAAAGTAATCAGAGGTCGTGCGCTTCAGGGCAGCCTTAGCTTTCTCAGTGCTCCAGTCCACCTCCAGTGCCTCTTTCACAGGGCAGAAGACCACCTTCTGTTGGAAAAAGGCAGAAGTACTTAGGGATAAAAATTATAAAGCTTCAAATTATAAAGCAGAAACTATTTCCATCTCAAAGAAATTACTTAAAGTTTACTGATCATTAAGAAGTTGGGAGTGGGGGTTGTGTCTCAGTTGTAGAGCATCCGCCTAGCATGGATGAGGCCCTGGATCCGATCCTTAGCATCACATAAAGGTAAATAAATAAAACAAAGGTGTTGAGTGCAACTACAACTAAAAAAATATTAAAAAAAAAAAAAAAAGGAAGCAGCAGCAGCAGCTGGGGTTGTGGCTCAGTGGTAGAGTGCTTGCCTTGCATGTGTGAGGCCCTGAGTTTCTTAGAGCCACATAATAAATAAATAAAATAAAGGTATTGTTTGTCCATCTACAACTAAAAATTTAAAAAAAAAGAAAAAGAAAAAAAAGAAGTTAAGGCCCACTTAAAACTAAGAAATGCTTGTTGAATACCGGAGACAGTGATGGTCATGTACCTGCAAAGACAGAAGAGAGCGCCAAGTTCCTCAAGACCTAGTTCCATCTGGCTCTAACTTTGGCTGTATTCACATTACAGAAATACATCACCACTGAGAACAAGAACAAGTATGTCTTGAAATAGCAAACAAAAACAACTGAAAAATTAAATGTTTTTCAGTAGAATGGTTTAATGATAATAAAGGATGACAATAAAAACAGAAAATGAATAAGGGGGATGTGACAAAAGCTCAAGGCCACAGAAACAGAACTAGAATTGCAAAAGCCCTGTGAAAGGAGGAAGTGAGGCTAAAACCTATTAAGATAATCATATTATCCTTTTGGTACTGGGGATTGAACCAAGGGCTATCACATACTATAATAATGAACCCCAAAACCAGCCCCAAATTAACTATCCTGAAAAATGCAACAACATAGATTTAATTTTAAAATACACAACTTATTTATTTTCTAATTTTAAACAGTAAATAGGTATTATTTATCCCCCCTAAAAATTTAGAAAATAACAAATTATTCTTCCTAAACAACTGAGTCCAAAAGTCATGCACAACAAAACACAAAAACACCCCACCATCTCATCTCCTAGGTGGATGAGAAAAATCAAAAACAAAAAGAAGTGGGCTCGGGACTAGAGTTGTGGCTCAGTAGTAGAGTGCTTGCCTAGCATTTGCGAGGCACTGGGTTCGATTCTCAGCACCACATAAAAATAAAGGTACAACAACAACTAATAAAATATTAAAAAAAAAAAAAAAAAGGAAGAAGTAGAAGAAATGGGCTGGAGATATATAGCCCAACTGGTAGAGTGCTTGCCTCACATACACAAGGCCATGGGTTCAATCCCCAGCACCACAATTAAAAAAAAAAAAAGAATTAGCCAGGTACGATGGTGCAGTCCTATAATCCCAGTGGTTTGGGAGACTGAAGCAGAAGGATCGTTAAGTTCAAAGCCAGTCTCAGCAACTTACTGAGGCCCTAAGCAACTCAGTGAGACCCTGTCTCTAAAAAATATATATATAAAGTGCTTGCCTTGCACGCACAAAACCCTGGGTTCAATCCCAAGCATCAAAAAAATAAAAAATAGGGCTGGGGATGTGGCTCAAGTGGTAGTGCGCTCGCCTGGCATGCGTGCGGCCTGGGTTCGACCCTCAGCACCACATACAAAGATGCGTCTGCCGAAAACTAAAAAAAAAAAAAAAAAATTTTAAAAAAATAAATAAATAAATAAAAAATATAAAAAAGGGCTGGGGATGTGGGACTCAGGGTTAAGCACCCGTGGGTTTAATCCCCCACCCCACAAAAAAGAATTTGAGGAGCCAAGTTTGTCAAAGAACAGAATTAGCAATACAGAAAGAGGAAACTAGAATGAATCCTGTGGTGGGAGAGAGACATCACTATGAATTTAATTTCAATATACACAAATCAAGAAAATGGCTGATTTCAAAACTGGGGCAGAGCCTGGCACTCAGGCCCACATCTATAATCCCAGTGACTTGGGAGGCTAAGGTAGGAAGATTGTAGGTTCAAGGCCAGCCTCAGCAACTTAACAAGATCTGTCTCAAAGTGATGGATATGCAGCTCAGTCGTAGTCGAGTAACCCTGGTTACAATCCCCAGTATGAAAGGTGGGAATCAATGATGAGGCCAAGAGAATATGAGGAGTCTAGAATACCTTACTGCACTAGAAAGTAAAGAAATGCTCAGAAAAGGAAGGGGACATGTCAAAAGGAAAGCAGAGGCAGCTTTAGGGAGCTCCTACTGGTCAAATCTGGGGAAAATCAAGATAAAAATAAATGATAGCAATCCAACACTTCAAATAAACTGGAACCCATTAGGCCACATACCCAAAATTAACTGAATTAGTTAAGTGGTTGATAAGAAATGAGATATTGGGGCTGGGGATGTGGCTCAAGTGGTAGCGCGCTTGCCTGGCATGCGTGCAGCCCGGGTTCGATCCTCAGCACCACATACAAACAAAGATGTTGTGTCCGCTGATAAAAAAAAAAAAAAAAAAATTAAAAAAAAAAAAAAAAAAAGAAATGAGATATTAACAGGGCTGGGTATGTGGCTCAAGCGGTATCGTGCTCGTCTGGCATGCGTGCGGCCCGGGTTCGATCCTCAGCACCACATACAAAGATGTTGTGTCCGCTGAAAACTAAAAAATAAAAATATAAAAAAAAAGAAAAAGAAATGAGATATTAACAGGGCTGGGTATGTGGCTCAAGCGGTATGGTGCTCGTCTGGCATGCGTGCGGCCCGGGTTCAATCCTCAGCACCACATACAAACAAAGATGTTGTGTCTGCCGAAAACTAAAATAAATAAATAAATAAATATCAAAGATTCTCTTTCTCTTAAAAAAAAAAAAAAAAGAAATGAGATATTAACATATTTTAAAATGACTCTCCAAAAAATATATACGCAAAACATAAAGAAAAGACTAACTTCCAAGGAGAAAAAAAATTCCGTAGACAACATTTTACTTGAAGAATCAAAGTTAACATTACTAGCAAATCACACAACCAGATTACAGGATGCAATGGGAAGCATCCATTCTATAACATTCTTTCCAAAGATATGAAATTGAAGTCTAATCAAAAGAAAACATCAGATGAAAACAAATTAAAAAAAAAAAAATACATCAGATGAACCCAAACTAAGGGATGTTTTTCAAAATAACTAGCTTACAATTTTTAAAAGTGTCATGAAAATCCATATATAATGCTGAACTGAATCCTTGTGCCATTAAGGACATTACTGGAATAACTAGCAAACCTAAATAACATCTAAGGATCAGAGAGCAATGTTGTATAAATGTAAATTCCCTGGTCGTGATGGTTGGCTTATGTTTATAGAAAACACTTGCTTGAGCAAACACAGACTGAAATATCTGGGGGTAGTGGGGGGGCGGGGCATCATGTTGGAACCTTACCCCAAAATGATTCAAATTGAACAGTTGTTAATACTAGCTCCATTTTGTCAATTTAAAATGTCATATGCAGGGGCAGGGATATAGCTCAGTTATCAGACTGCTTGCCTCACATGCACAAGGCCCTGGGTTCAGTCCCCAGCACCACAAAAAAAAAAAAAAAAGGTACATTTTGAGTATAAAAATAATTTCAAATTTAGACAGGTGTCTACCTTTCCTCCTCTCTTCTCTCTCCTTTATTCCCTAGCTATCTAAAAAACCAAGTGAGCCTGGCTTGATGGCATATCCTGTAATCCCAGCTACTCAGAAGGCTGAAACAGGAGGATCACAAGTTTGAGGCCAGTCTGGGCAACTTAGTGAGACCCTGTCTCAAAATAGAAATTAAAAAGGCTGGGTAGCTCAATGATCCACAGTTCTGCAAAAAACAAATAAAATAAAGAGGTGTGGCTTAGTGATAGTGTGCTTGCCTAGCATGTGCCAGGATTTAATCCCCCATACCACCTCACCCACCCCGCACCACAAACAGAAAAAGACTACAAATTTCTAGGTCCAATCCCCAGACCTACTTATTCAAAATCTCCAAGGCAGGCATGGAGGGATCCAGGAGTCTCCAGCTTTAAAAAGCATTCTAACAAACGACAACTGTAATTGATACAATCTGCCAGTAGAATAGCAAAAAAGCATGAAGTCACTAAAGGTTACTGTTATATACTGTTGGCTGCAGAATGTAAACGGATAAAAACTTTTTGATTCTACTTAGCAGAATCTGCCAAACCCTATGATGCTCTAATTTAACCTAGAGAAAGTAACAGGATTGTCCTAGAGACTATCTACACACACTCACAGACTTACTGTAGCAGTTTTTAATGGCAAAAATGTACATGCCTAAATGACCATGGACAGAAGAATAGATATATAAACAATAATGTATTTACACAATAAATACTTTACAGCAAAAGAATGCCCTGCAGTGCTGCCCAAGACAATTTGCTGTGATGATGGAAATGGTGAACCTGGGCTGCACAATACCAAGAGGTATGTGTGGTTACTAAGCACTTGAAATGTGGCTAGTGAGACTTAGGGACTCAACTTTTTATGGCATGTAATTTTAATTACTTTAATTTAAATAATCATGTGGCTAGTGGCTACCATAATGGACAGAAAAGCCCTAACTCCATACAGATGTCCTCACAAACAAAAAGCTGCTATTAAAAAGCAGGTGCAGCACACATGCAATATGAAACCAATTCTGAAGTTAAAAGGCATGCAAAAGCAATTCCAGATAGTGCTTGGACATGCATACATATATATACACAATAAAAAGAAATACAAGGGCTGGGATTTTGGCTCAGTGGCAGAGGGCTTGCCTTGTGCCATGTGAGGCACTGGGTTCGATCCTCAGCACCACATCAAAATAAATAAATAAAATAAAGGCATTGTGTTCATCTACAACTTAAAAAAAAAAAAAAGAAATATACAGGGCTGCAGTTGTGGCTCAGTGGTAGAGTACTTGCCTTGCACATGTGAGGCACTGGGTTCGAACCTTAGCACCATATAAAAATAAATAAATAAGCAAAATAAA